TTTGGTGAGCTTTCTAGTTATGTTTGGTGAGCTTTGTAGTAATGTTTGGTGAGCTTTCTCAATATATGTGGTGAGCTTACTCTATATTTTTGGTGAGCTTTCTCAAAATATGTTGTGAGCTTTGTAGTTAAGTTTGGTGAGCTTTGTAGTTAAGTTTGGTGAGCTTTATGTGGTGGCAAAAAATATGATTTTTAAGGAAAAATTTTAATAAAGAAAGAAATAGACATGTATGTTTATGTCGGGTTGGCTCCCTTTGGAAACACCAATTTTATACCTCCTCAATGATCAACCACATTATCAAGCAATATTTAACCTACTTAAGACATGAGTTATCATCCTTTTATTCTCATTTGAATTTTCGTGTGTCAGGTGTGTTGTATTATTTCATTTCCGTAGTATGGGTTAGTACGTTATGTCATGTTTAGCCCGTGAATAGGATTACCATGCCTTTAGGAAGAAACTCTACTTGTCACTAGGTTGGATGAAGGACAGATCAGGAGCAAGCACAAAAGTCGGTTTTTTCGCCTTTGAGCTTATTTACAGCGGGGAGATCCCCGTTTCGACGCACGAAAACGTGAAAGCGCTTCTGCGGGACAACTTTAACGTTAAAACCCCCTCCTCGTCCTCGTCTTCGTCTCAGCCCTCACTCTCTTGGAAATTATTTGGCAGGTTTAAGATGAAGACGAAGATCGTTGCACATTTTAGCAATTGCATATAAAGACAATGTAATAGTTGCAAAACCAAAGACAGAATTAATTGTAACCATTGATCAATAAAGATCAAATCAACCACAATGTAAAACCACTTGAACATGATCTGTTCTATAGGTTGTACATCTAAATCCAGATATTCATCTAAGATAAAACCACTAGTATGTTGTGTTTCATCTATGCAATGACCTGATGGGCAGCAGGTCATTGCTTTTTGACAACATCACAAAATATGACACTAAGAAAGATTCACAGATCTCAACACCAAATCATGTTAACNATGTAAAACCACTTGAACATGATCTGTTCTATAGGTTGTACATCTAAATCCAGATATTCATCTAAGATAAAACCACTAGTATGTTGTGTTTCATCTATGCAATGACCTGATGGGCAGCAGGTCATTGCTTTTTGACAACATCACAAAATATGACACTAAGAAAGATTCACAGATCTCAACACCAAATCATGTTAACCTGGTCCTATATCCACACAAATCATATCCTGTTTTCTCAACACCATAATAACCCAAAATCAGATTGCTAAAACTTAATCAAATCAGACATTAGGCCAAAAATCAAACTGTCACTGTATGTGTCCAAGTGTGACACATATCCTACACTACAAGAAAAAGGAGTATTAGCTACGGAACAATTATGACGGGTTGATAATACTCTCATTAAATGTGTTATTTGTACATTTTTTATGAGGGAAAAAACTCTAGTTACAAGGTTTTACTTTTAGTGACCAGTTTTTTTTTTTTTCATTTTTATTTTTTAAAGTTAATACTCTCATTATAAATTTAACATATATTTTAATTAGGCCAAACTAAAATATAGTCCAAAATAAAATATTCATTCCTTTAAAAGAAATACGGAGTACAACGCTAATTTGGGATTACCGCCTAAGCTTGCCTACGCATTCTTCTGAAGTATTTTCGAGACACTTGGATCAAATTGCAGATCCGGTGCATACACGATCTCTGCAGATCCGGCGTATACTATCTTTTCGCTGGTTTTTCGCTTGCAGAGTCCCGGCTATCTGGTTTATCGCTTTCTCTTGAATCTAGTGCTTAGGGATTCGATCCCTCCCAAATGAGGTTATAATTTTTATTTTTTTCCCGGTATGATGAGTTTGGATTAATTTTCTCACGAGGGTTTGAGCATTTATTCTCCTTTCTGATTCAATGATTCATAATATTTGACTTTGTTTCTTGTTTGAATCCGTTCTGTTTACAAAGTTTGGTGAAATTTGTTCATGAATTGGGTTTGAAGTTTGATTCTTTGGCACCATTAATGGCCATTCCTTAGAAATAGTGTAAACCACATTCAACATTTTTTTGTTGGTTTAGAATATCCTGAAATTTGTAAACCTCAAATTGAGTATTGATACAAACATGATTATCCATTTTTTAAGCCATGAAAAAACAACGAAGCAAACAAGGCCTTCAATGTTGTTTTAATTAAAACTTTGTGTATATAAACCAATGGATGGATTCACAATGTAAGACATCCAAATACAAGGTTTTGGTATGTTATAATTTATTAATACAACAACTTGGGATGGGCAAGTTATATCCATCACTTTTAGGGTGTTTAGTAAAGATAAAATAAAAACACCAACACCCAAAAGTCAAAGCTACTTGTGCTAGTGACTTCAACAGTGCATCAATTAGTGAGTGAATGGAAAAAGCTGGTTCAAACTGTGCTAGTGATTTCGGCTACTGGTTTTAGGTTTTTTAGTATCATGCTTTTAGGTTTTAGTAGTTGGCTTAAGGGTGGGCTGGTTTATGGTTTCGGTTTGAAAATTGGGATGAGGGGCTGGTTTTTAGGGATGGTTTGGAGGAGGATTGTGGTTGTACGTGTATATGATTTGGGACCCCTTAGACTTCTTTCAAATAGTAAATTAGGACAGATTGTGCTTTTCAATCAGTATATGAAGTGTTTTGGGTCACCATACTGTTTGGGCCATAATTTTGTCCGATTTTGTCGAACATATATTTATGTTGGTGTTTTGTTATGCCTTAGTTCGTAGTATCTGCTTGTGTGCTTTATGTCAAATTTTTAGAGTCAAATTGTATGCTTGTGTTGTCTACATTCATACTCTCGTGTTTCATTGGTTTCTTTGTTCGTGCTTTTGTATATGAGCCAAGGTCTCTTGGAAACAAGGTGGTCTAGACAATTCCCGTGTCCCAGTTGGCCATATTTACTCCAACCGCAAGTATATAAAGCTCTAGAGGAAGAAACAGATATTGTGTGTCTCCATCCACAAGCTACAATTACCATCTTTTCTTCCTGTAACTTTGAACTATCAAAACATAAAATAGGAAAATTTAACAAAGTAGTAGAAGCATTAAGGAGGCTGTGTGGAAACCGGAAAATGGTTAGGCAAAAAGAAAACATTTTCTTGTGTTTGGTTCTGCCTCGGATAATGTGAAGGAAAATCAAATTTGATAAGAAGCTTTTAAGATTTTACACATATTTCATTCTCTCTTTACTGGTTTCAAACACTCAAATAGACCCTAACGGAAGAGGACCTAGTTTCCTCCTGTCATGCAGTAGGATACTGTAGTTGAAAATAAGTAGGAAAATCACTTGGTTCAACATCTCAACCATAATAGATATGGTATCTTTGAAACATACATTAATTAGACCACTATGTATCAGTAATAATAATTAATAATAACCTGATAGAAAAATACAGATTTAGCATACCATGGAGGTGCACCTTCGACCCAAAATTCTGGTGTTTAACCCATCAATTTTTCACTTTTACTATTTTGGAGCTTTTCTTTGTTCTGTTCTTTTTATCATACGACCTTTATTCAATTCAGGGTTAAGTTCCCTTTAGAACCTATCTTGGAGAGAGAATAGTTTATTGAGGAACAAAGAGCTATGAAAATATTGATATCATGTCACCCGTATATTTAGAATTTGTTTGGTAAGCATTGGTCACTAGTCAAGCACTTGAATAACAACGCTTAGGGTTCCTAGCCTGCTTGTTGAAGGTCTAATGTGAGATTGGGTGGTGGTAGTTATTAGTACATACTTATTTTACAGTATTATTGTTTAGCATTGAGGTGTGAAGATACATATTAATAAACTTCTAAATCACTTGTTTTCTTAACACAACTACAGCTTTGACAAGCTGGCATTTTACATTTTGTTCACTCCAGGTTGCACTCTTGCTGAAACTCTTTGAGCATAAGTCTTTTGATTCAAGATCTATTGTTGGATTTGGTATTCTAAATGGCATCTCAATTGGATTGATGAACCTTAGCCTAGGTTTCAATTTTGTTTGTTTATATCAGGTATAACCTAAATGGAATCTCTGTTGTTGTTTTGAATGCAAGACCTACACTACTTAGTAGAATCATTTCTGGATCCAAACTTTAATACATCTTTTTCTCTTAGATGACAAATCTTGCCATCAGACCTTGCACTCTACTACTAGAGACACTTTTCTTGAGCATAAAGTTCAGGTTAGTCTTTTATGGTGCTGAATGAAGTTGATTTGGTCTTTCCATATGTCTGCTGCATTTCAAAGGTTATCATGAACTATCTAGAAGTTTGGATCCGTTTGGGGTTTCAACTGTAACTGATTTGCACCTAAATGTGCTCAAGGAGATAATTTTATGCATTGCCTTGGTCATGATATTTTTGTTGATGACCTTATGTGTTTTATTCACATTTGACTTTGTTGATGACCTGAATGTTAATTCGGGTGCCAATCAAGTAGTTTATTAGTTTATGATTGGTTTTTTGTAATCTTCCAGCTAGCCTCAAAATGGACATGGAAGGATGCTAGGCCTCCTTGGTAAGAGAGATATTTTCATTGAAGTTTTGAAATAAAGTCTGCTATTTCTTGAAGTGTTAAAATTAAATCTGCAAAAGAATCATATGACAACATTCACATCCGTAGCAGCAGCCCCTCTTGTTCTCTCCAACTACAGAATCTTTGCTCTTCAAACGGGAGATCAGATTTACTTTTCTAATGGGACATTAAGCTATGCTTGTCTTCATTTTAGAAGATCGTTACAAACAGCCTTAAAACGTCATGAATGATGAGACTCATTGCAGGCAGTGTTACGTTGGTGCAGCATGCCTTGGGACTTAGCATTTGATGTGTAATTTTTTATTCCATATATGCTTTTGGACAAGGTTGTGATCCCTAGCTTATATAAGTGTCAGTAGAGTTGTGATGTTTGTCTTTTTGTACCAATTGGAGTATTTATATATATATAAAGGCGTAAGTCTTTTTTGGTTTTTGCTTTAGGCATTACTCAGCATGCCCTTGTATTTATATTTTTTTATTCTAATAAAAATTTATTTAAACATATAAACTTTGAGTGTGTGTGTCTATATATATATATATATATATATATATATATATATATATATATATATGTATATATATATATATATATATATATGACGGGATTTTCCGTCACAAAAAGAGTATTTTAAAGATGGTAAAAGTACTCTCATTAAATAGTTTTTAATAAGGGGACCTAATGCCCGTCATTATTTGTAATTAGCTACGGAGGCTATAATGACGGGTGATGAGAGTAAATTTCATCTCATTAAAAGGTTTTAATGACGGTTTTCTATGTTTACAACGGTTTATACTCACACTATAGAGGAGTTTTCTTGTAGTGCTAGTTGATAAACTTGCCATATTCTGCCACTTTCCGTTTCACTTGTACGGCAAGTTGATTATGATCAGAGGTGAGCATTTCGTAGCAATATCGAACACAGATTATTCTTAGTCCATTTACCTACCAAGAAATTTAAACTTCAATTAAAATAAGATAAAATGTGTGATAATTTTATCTTATTTCACCATTTTTGTTCAAATGTGTGATAAACTTGCCATAAAATAAGATAAAGACATAAGACTTACATCATTTTTGTTCAAATCCATCTTCCACGTATTCAAATTCCCCTTGAAAGTTTCCAATTGCCTCATGGCTATGACACCAACACCCATACCTTTCATGTTCCCATAACATGCCTTCTTTGTTATTTCAAAAGGAAATTTGGAAATTTTACTTGCTTTTTGCTCAAGTTGTTTTTCATTGAAATACTCGCACATTCCCTTTTTCTGCAAGTCAGTGAGACTATATTAGATTAAGTTGAAGAATAAACAATGAAGTTCAAGCTTAAGTCAATATTACCACGCTTTAAAAAGGATCTTACCAAACATTCAACACATGTATCATACACCTTAGTTTTATGTTCAATTGAATCAATGATGGTTATCTTCTCCTTTTTCATGTTAAAACACACTATATAAACATCATCCTTGTCTGTTTCATCAGCAACCAAGAAGAATATCTGCAGTAAAATAAGAACATAAATGATATCAGAATAAATGAATATGTTAGATACAAAACACTAAAAACAAACAATTCCATGTAGCTGACCAAATCTGCAGTACTCATATCAATGCCGCTATAAAACTGTTGTTCTACCAATTCTCTGTCAGCGACTTCACAAAAGTTTTCATGAGCATCGTCATATAAACTGATCTTTACAAACTCAGCCTACATGAATAATGTAAAGTTTGTGTCAGTGTCACATTTGAATATCTCCACTTTTATACACTAAAGTACATGAATAATGTAAAGAGGTTACATACAAAAGGATTCGTGCTAAGGAAAACTCGATAGACATCTGACTTGCTTCGATGCTTTTCCTCGGCATTCAAGAATCGACACCAAATCTGTAAAATAAGCGACGAGACAGACCCTTCGGAAAAGGATATTAAATCGCTTCGCTTCATTTCACAAAACATGTCTTTGTACAAAACTTCCCTGTAATTAAAATTATGGAAAATAGGATAAATAAATATCAAAAAAATCTTAATAATAATAATTAAATTAAGTAACTTATTTACAAAACAACTTGAAAAGGTAACACTGACCCAAGTAAAAGAGATTTGTTGAATACGTAGTCCGTGAGAACCTTCTCGGCACGGCTCAACCGTGAGAGTGCTTCCATGTTTCTTATCCAAAAAGGAGAACATAAGGCGCGTGCAAATTCTTTCTTCCTTTGGGGCTGAAGTCGTCTTTTAAGGAATACAGGACTTCGAGCAGGGCTAGGACCAGATGCAATTTCTTGACTTGTTAAGTGAGTATATGGTGGGGTTGGCTGAAAAAGAACAATTTCTTCTTGTTGCCCTTGAACTGCACTCTCTGGAAAAGCTGGGATAGGCTCAATTTGGGGGTGACTCTGTACATCATCTGCCAATGCAGTGAGATTGCATGTTTGGGCTGTGCCATCTCCATTCTTTGTTTGAATCTCCTCATGCTGAACCTCTTCATGTTGAATCTCCTCATTTTGATTTTCCTTTTCCTCTGGTGTAAGCCTTAAGCTAAATGATGGCATGAACAAGTCTTGGCTGTTGGTCTCAAGGTTGCGCTTCACCGTGAAAAATTCCATTTCAAGTCGAGATATTTCAGCCAAGAAAGAAGGGCTCTCGTGGACTACTTCGAATTGCAGTTTCGGATTTGTTTCCGAAATCGGAGTACCTGATATTCTTGGACTTTTACCAACAGCAACAATCACTTCTGCAGCAGTTTGTTGCATTCCCTTGACGGCATTTGAATTTGGGAACTCACTATTCAAGCCTCTACAGACGGTGTCCCACTTTGATATTTTTTGTACCAACTCTTTTGCAGCACTCCGTGTCTCCTCTAAAACGTCGTTCTAAAACAGGTTTTTAAAAAAGAAAAAAGTGTGTCAAGTTACTTTGATATTCAATGCTTCAACTTCAAATTATCCACTCAAAGTCAAACCAAATAAATATGAAAAAGAAGCAAGAGCATGATCACTTCATTCATCCAAGCAAGGAGTTAATTTAGGAGACTAAGACGTTGATTGGAACAATCATAGAGTGTGTTTGTGTAAAAATGGATTGGATGGCAGGTAGTGAACTGAAATGGGAAATGAAATTATAGAACAAAAAGCAAAGCACTAGTGTAGGCAGGGTAGGGATTTTTGTCATTGCTGGTGTGAAATCTTTGACACTATATGATGAAGGAACAGTGGAGTTGTGGTATTTTTCAATCGATTTACATTCAAAAATAAAATGTGTCCTTAATTGAACATAAATAAAACTGATCTGTGTGTGTCTTACAACTACCTGTGATTGTGATGTTTTCCCAGGAGGATCTTCAAGAGACGGATTTTCATTTGAAAACAACTCTTTATTGATTTGTGGGTCCACGGTACCACGACCAAAACCACCGATTTACAGTATTATTCAGTCACGTATAACTTTAAAAAGCATGAACCTCCTAAAAATAAGTTGCACTAACCTGATTCCCGCTCCAATCCTTCTCTTTCCTTAAGCTTTTGGGAAGTCCAACCTATCATAGTTGGAAAAGTTCTAGGCACTACTCTCATTCGGAAGACAATCCTATCAACATAAAACATCTAAAAAGAGAAAAAATCAGTATAACACAAGCGACTCTGTAAAATATAAAACGCGAACTAGTGTGTTGGAACTTATAAAGTTTTATGTTAAGGAAATGAATACATACCATTAAGAACAAAACAGGCCCAGTGAAATAAGGATTTGACTTTCGCTTCCATTGAATGGTAGAATTAATTAAATTGGTCAAGGTATACTTGCACCAGTTTAATTTATTCACGTTACTCAAATCGACTAAGGAGCGCAACACTCTTGAATTTGCAAATGTATTTGTGTTTCCGGATATGCAGGTAGAGATGAAGAACACTGTAACGCCCCAAAATATACCCTAGAATTATTAATAAATAAATAATCAATTAATCAAAATTGTTTTGATTAAAAATAAATGTTTTTTGGGCTTTGGGCCAAAATGAAATATGTTTAAATATTCAATATTACAATTTGGATAAATCCTAACCAGATAAATCCAATATGTTGAGTTGTTGACTTATTGTGTAATCTTGATTGGGAACCTGAGTACAGACCCAAATTAAGAATAAATGAAGAAATTGTTTATAATGTAAACTTTGAAATGATTTATTGAAATAAATCATGGAAATAAATAATATGAATTAGATGTGAGAACATTTTATAAAAGTCAATTAAACCAATTTTGACTCTGTCAAAGTCAAACACCCAAAAATATGATGTCAGAAAAAGTATAACGAATAAATATAAAAATTATATCATTGGATATAGTTTAATTGCACGATCGCAATGGTGCAAACGGATTTCAATTCAGAGAAAGTTGGACCAAAAAGAGTACCCCGACTGGGACCTAAATTAGTCCCAATCAGGGAAGTATCATGTAAATATCTGATCGGCGCAGCCTCCTCCACTACGTGACTTTCATACGCAGAAATGAGTCAGCCAGTGTCCTCTTCCCCTTCTCTTCTTCTATATAAGGATACTCCATCCTTACCAATTCTGCACCAATCTTCTGGAAAATTATACCATTGTGTTCATAAGAGTGAAGGAAGCAGTCTGGTGTTGTTAGTTGTCGCCGGAGTCGCCGGAATTGGGAGTAATCATCGCCGGAAGTTTTGCTGGAAAATATTCAAAACATTCATTAAGCTTTAAGGTAAGCCCGTTGATATATCTAATGACTAGAATGTCCGTATAGATCGTTTTTACGTTCATAAACGGTCGTTTAGTTGAGTTTTGTGTTTGACATGCTTGAAAAATCAAGAATCATAAACCATGAATTTGATGTTAAAACTATGAATTAATAATACCAAAATGATCTATGAACCTTGTAGAACATTTCTATATAGTTTAATTGAAGTTCGGAAACTAAAAATGGAATTTTCGAAATTGGTGTCGCGAGGTAGAAGACGATGAACAGTGGCTGAAAAGCCACTATCTGGATCGATCCTCTAACTTGGATCGATCCTCTGGGAGTATTATTCCATAGTATGGATCGATCCAGAGGGCTGGATCAATCCCCCGAAAATCTGATCCGAAAATTAGTCTGAAAATGCCATTTTTGAGGTCTAAAATCCTATTTTTGATATCAATTGATTATGATCATTATAAAAATGATTTACCACAATAAAAATGATGTTTTTTACAAATAAAATGTTATGTGATGCATGACGGTATGTTCGGGTGTTAACACTCGAAGCTAGGCCGCTATTGGCTATCGAATGTTATGTTGATTGATGATTATGATGAATGATTATTATGATGATTATGGCTTGAGGAAACCACTGATTAAAATGATTATCAAGGATTAAATTATTAATTGAAATGAATATGTTGATAATTATGAAAGGATTTGGATTGTAAGGATACCTAGAAGAACTCTAAGATATACCTAGGTTGACTTTGGTTTCTAAGACTATCTAGAAGACCTCTAAGATAGCTTAGAAATAGGCCTTGCGGGTATAATTATGAATATTCGGTGGCCTGGGTTAAAACGTACGTACGGGATCTACAAACCAAACTCGAGGAACTCGTTTGGGGATACCACCCAACCCGACAGTGAGCATTTCGCTGTTCGGTTTCTGGTTGGCCTTAATCGAAGGTAAGTTTAATATTTTGGAAACCCTTCATCTTAAACTAGGACTAGCTTAAGGATTATTTAGGAGTACCTTAAACTAAAATATAGTTTAATTATATTAAACTAGAATTCGTTTAAGAGTTGGTAAAATAGATTGGCTTTAGACTAAGAACAATTTAAGGATATTTTTGAATGACAAATGATAAATATTGAATAAAATAAATGTTGAATATGAATGACGTATATACATGTTGAATGATTGAATAATGAATGTTGAAAATTGAATATTGATTATTGAATGTCTGAACTGAACATTATGTGCATGATATCAAATGGTTGATTATGAATTGAAATTCAATTTATGTGGATGTTCGACGCATTAGATATGCTTACTCAGCTTTACCGCTGAACGTGTAGTGCGTTTTATTTGCTACACGCAGGTCAATAGAATGATGTGACGTGATCCTGGAGGCAGACGGAGGCGAGATAGTCGGAATGGATGTGATGGTTTTGAATTAAAGAATATAAATAAATTACGTTTGTGATTATGATTTGTTAAGCTTCCGCAATATTGAAAACTATATACTGTTATGATATGAAAAATATTATTGTGATAAATAAAAATGTTTGAAATGTTTTAAATTTTTACGAATACAAACTTAATACTTTAGTCCGAAAGGGGCTGCAGACCTGGACGGATTAGGGTGTTACAAACACCATAAAATTGAGCTTAAATCCTTCACTTGACCCCGCAATTCCTAAAATTCTATCGGGCATAGCATTGGTACGTGGAAAATCCCTCTGTAAACCCCACTCATCTCTCCACTTAAGGACCAAAGTCTTATAATCCTCAGGGTCTGTTGGCTTGTTTTGAGCTTCTAGCACATCAAATGGCCCGGTCGGGAGGCCAAGGGTTAGATGGACATCCTTTTCTGTGATTCTAACCCGCTCATTGAGATTTATTCCCAAAATAGTCCTTTGTAATGAGATATTTTCCCAAATCAGTCTTCAATAAGTTTTAATTACCTAGGTGGTCCTCTATAATTGAGATTTATCCCCAAGATGGTCCTTCATAAATAATGATACTCAAATGAGGATTAATTAAGGTTATTTTTTCTATGCTAAATTTAGAATTAATTTTTAAAATAATCATTTATTATGAAGTGCTTTCCCAAAATGGTNGCTTCCCTCCAAGAGTTATAAGCAAGCTTGAAGGAGAATGGATTCCCCTCCCACATTTCTGTCCCAGAGATGGTATGAACATGCTCAAGAGCCCAGTTGTGTATACGGGCTGCTCTTTTCCAGGTGACAGTGTCCGTGTGGTATTCATGAAATGAATCTGGCCGGTATTTGCTTCTCATATATTTTCCCCATATCCCTTCTGAATTTCTGATCTTCCACCAGATTTTTGATGAATAAGCAGCTTCAATATCCTCCAAATGCCTAATCCCAAGTCCTCCTTCGCATGTGGGGAAGCAAACATTTCTCCAGGACTTCCAGTGATGTTTGGGTTTTCCATCTTTGTGTCCCCAAAGAAAATTCTGCATCATCTTGTTGAGGGTGTTGTGAATGGATTTGGGCATCTGTTGGACCGCTAGAATGTGTAATGGGATAGAGCTTAGAACGTGCTTGATGAGGATTAACCTGCCCATTTGGTTAAGGACCTTGCTGTGCCAAGTGTTAAGGTATCCCTCGAAATGTTGGACAATTCTCTTATAGTCCTCTTTTTTAAGTTTCCCTTTACCAATAGTTGCTCCTAGGTATTGGAAAGACAGTTTCCCTTTACCAATAGTTGCTCCTATATATATATATATATATATATATATATATATATATATATATATATATATATATATATATATATATATATATATATATATATATATATATATATATATATATATATATATATATATATTCTAGTCGGATGACACTTTATGGTAAGATGACATGCTACAGTCAGATTACGATAAGGTCACCACTCATCACAGCAAAGCTCATCAAGGATAACTACGAAGCTCACCAAATTGTATAGAAAAGCTCACCATGAGTCTTTCACACTTTGAATTTTTAAGAATTTAAAGTTTCAATATTCACAAACCCTAACCAAAAAGCTCAGCATTCATCTGTAGAAAGCTCACCAAACATACACATGAAGTTCTCCAATTTTTTAGGCTAAAAAATTGAATAAAAACAAAGGGCGGCGGAGACAGGCGGGCGGCGGCGGAGACAGGCGGGAGGTGGCGGCTTCTAGATCAGACTAGAAGTATGCCATGATATCATAATAAGATTTGTAACTGTTAGTTATTACATTATGGAGTAGCAAAATGGAAAGTACTGCGTAGTATTTAATCAAACATGAAGATCAAAAGTAATTTAGCTCTGTATATACGAACTAACAACGATGCTACCGAATACAATCAATTCAATGAAAAAGTAAAGGATAATTTACTTAAATAGGACTAAAACATAATGACTTTCTCAATATAGAATCATATGTTTTTATTTCTGAATATAGGATCATTGATCATTATCTATTAGTCATTATTCAACTAAATGTCCAGCATCACTTGAGCATTATTCTTCTCACTAGACATTATTAAGTCCTATTTAGGGAATAAAAAAGTTTAAGTCCTACTTTGAGAAATGACTTATGTTTTGCTCTTATTTAGTGCAAATTTCACAAAAGGTAATAACGACCGAGCGAGCTTTTATATTATGGTCAACTACATTGGTCTTCCTTCATGCATATATGATTGAGTGTTGGATTCGTGAGAGAAAGATGATCACGTACAATTTTCACTCCAACCCAGGGAAAGCTTAGGGAATTGGTTAGTTGTTTAAAATTGGAGCTAAGAGACAATAATAACATAGAGTAATAACTGATCGAATTAAATAAGTTTTGGGTATTAAAAATTTCTCTCTCGCCTCTCAGCGAAGAACTTGCCCGTAACACTGAGGTCGGGGAGGAGTGCAAGCCAGACAGCCGTATCAGCTGCATCTTCAGGGGAGATACTCCCTGCCCAACCAGTCATAGCGGTCTTCACCCAACCGGGACAATAACAATTAATGTATATCTTGTGACCCTCTTCCCGTTCTGAAAGGTTGCGCCCCATCAGCCTCGTGAATGCGTTAACAGCAAGCTTCGATAGGGAGTAGTCTGTAAAGGTTTGTGGCCACCCCCCAGAAACCCAACTCCCGTCCTTTGTTTGCTCTAGGAATTTTTCCACCATCTCATCGATGAACTCCTCTGTTAGTGACTCCACATCCTCCAGCTTTTCTCTCAATTCAACATTTTCAATCCTCTAAACAAATTAAATAGCTCTATGGTTAATTAAACATAACGTGCAGTAACAACTATTAATATAACTTGGCTTTTCATGCAAAATGAGAAGATTTATATATAGTCTTTGATAAAAATACGTGCTTACATTTTGTTTTCCATGAAGCCTTCCTAATCGTGAGGTCACACTAACAATACGTCCGCCGGCACTTGATGGCCTCATCAATGGAATCATTGTTTTTATCATATTCTTGGTTCCATAATAATTTGTCTTGATCACTATTTCTGCATTTTCCACAGAATTCTCTTTACCAAAGTTAAAGTTTACTCCTGCGTTGTTTATCTACACAACATTCACAGATAATTATAGTAAAGACTAGCATGTGGTGCTTTAAAATGTGAGACTTAAGGGGCAAAATATTTGAAAAACAAGAAAAAAAAATCAAGAAATACGTGGTTGCAATTTTTTAAATAAATGGAATTTTGTAAATTGCACTACTTGCTTTGTAAAATGCACCATTCTCATTTCTGTCACCAAAGTCCATACTCACAGTATCGACCCCTATATATATATATATATATATATATATATATATATATAGATACATACATACATACATACATACATACATACATACATACATACATATATATATATATATATATATATATATATATATACTACCTCCGTCCCATTGTCTTTGTCCACTTTTGACTTTTGGAACTGTTCATCTAAGCACTTTGACTCATCAAATTCTCTTAATGTGTAAGCCTAAAAATAGTCATGTGTGATCTTATTTGATTCGTCTTAACATATAGATTATTAATATATAATTTGTATAATTTTTTAATATACAAATTACAAGATAAAATGGATTAAAGAAGTGCATTGGATGGTGTGCCAAAAGGTAAGTGGACAAAGATAGTGGGACGGAGGGAGTATATATATATATATATATATATATATAGTGTGTGTGTGTGTTAACCCCGTGCTTCGCACGGGCTCGTATACATTCTAAATTTTTAATATTTTGTAAATATAAATTTATTTTAATTTTAAAATAGTGACGTAATATGTGTGATATGAATATTTTTCTAACAGTAAGATATATTTTCTTAAATAAAATAATACTTTAAATATCAATACACATGCACTAAAAATTCTATAAGTATCTTATTTAAAAGTAGTAAAAGAGAAACGATCAATTGTTTTTAAAAATAATATAAAACTTTATTTCTCAAAAATACTTTTTCTCAATAAAGATTCAAAAATACTTTTTTAGATATAATATAATTATGTAAACAAAATATATTTTAAACAGGTAGAATATATATCGGTATTGTTAATTTAAAAATAAAACCCTTTATGCAAAATTAATGGTCATTGAATAAAATACTAATGAAAAGTTTTAATTAATAAATATTAAAATAAAAAATGGACTAATCAAATAATGATACATCGAGAATGTATATGTCACATAGTGTCACTTGTCATCTTTCATATAAACTAACTATATTCTATTTACTTTGTTGAATAATATACGAAGTAATGAAATAAACAATGTAAGAAGATAAATTTTTTGAAATAAAGTATTTAATTAAGAAATGTTCATATGTGATTAAAGTTATATAATATTTTTTTGGGAAGTAATACACTAAATTAAATAGTGGATAGTATAAAAATGATATAATATAAAATGATGTTTTCTTATTGATAAAGTTTATAGAATTTTTTTTAAAAATTAACATAATATAATTGTGAATACTTAAAACATGTGTTTTATTCGTAATAAAGAAATGAATATTTTTAAATTAGTTAAAATGAAAAAAGTCTATAAAAATATTGGTTATTCATTGTTAAAAAGTGAAAGGTTACATAATAATTTAAGAAAAATAATGGTTATTTAATGTTAGAAAGTAAAGAATTTTATATAAATTAAAATAAAAATGGTTATTTAATAAACGTGTGTCGTAAAACGTTTAATACAAAATTATTGTCTATTGAATAAAATATTAATATTTTTTTGTTAAATCAAAGTGTTTTTTAATGAGTAATAAATAAAAGTAAAACAATGCCAAAAAATACTAAATGAATTAAAACATAAAAATACCAAAAACAATTTAATGTTTCCGAAAGCAATTTTTTTTTAAATTGAAATGTTTTTAAATTTATAATAAAGAGTCTTTTATATACTTTTTTTAAATATTACAATAAATATGCATATTTGAAATACAGTGTATACTTTACAATATTAAAATATATTTTTATAGAACCGTTAAAAAATTAAAAAGTTTTATACAAAATATAATTAAAGTAAAGTTTTTTAATACCAAAATATAATATTTATTTAATATATTAAAAGATTTACAAAAAGCAAAATGGACCAATGAAAGGTCTTCACCTCATTGATGGGTGCATATGTGGATGCACATGTGGCATGCCACATGTCAACACCACAACCAACAAACTCAACTTTACATATATACGGAGTATATAGGATATATATGTATATATATCTGTGTGTGTGTGTATGTATGTATATGTATATACATACATATATCGACCTCTGTTCCAATTCATATGACCAAACTCTTATATATAGTGACTCACACACTCAATAACAAAAATAATATAGCTTAAAGAAACCTTCTTGGGTTAGGAATTAGGATACTTAACGAGACCCAAATGCCCCTAATTACAATAATAACCACGATTGTACTTCTTTAGAATTGCTCATACATCTCTAGAGTAGTTTAGAAAGTCTCCAAACCTTCTATAATGTTCTAGACAAATAAAGAGGGCTCCACATATTTTTATACTCCCTCCGTCTCTGAAAGTTCTTCCTGTTTTGATTTTTTTGTCAATAGTGACACTCTTTCACGATAAATTAAACATAATCTATATAAATAAATGTTACAAAAATTTGATATATCAAAACTATATTCTAAGATTAACCCAATTATATTAAATTTATATTATAACTCAATATACTTTTCTTAGAATTTGTAATCAAAGATTACCACTGTTTGACCAAAAAAGTTAAAAGAGAAAAAGTTTTTAGGGACGGAAACAATAATATTTTATAGGTTTCCACATTCTTCCTCACTTCTACATACTTCCAGTTTCTTTAGAAAGCTTTAGAATACTATGGAGAGTTCTACACTCTTCTATAAAGTTCTAGAGAGTTCCACACCTTTCTAGACTTTTTCCAAAATATTCAAAATAATTCTACACATCACAACCGACATGTAGACTTTTCTAATGCCTCGTTTGGTACATGGAATTCAAACTATGGAATTGGAATTGAGGACTTCAATTCCAATTCTGGTGTTTGGTAGCACAAAATTATGTGGATTTGGAATTTATAGTGCAAAAAATGAATTGGAATTGGAAGAATTCAATTTTATTGAATTGAATCTCATGGAATTTCAATTCTAATTCAATTCCAATTTTTTCAATTCCATCTACCAAGCAGACCCTAAAGTCTTCCTTCTCATAACCTTTTGGAATTTGAATTTGTATCCTAAAAATTCATCCCTCAAGTCATATTTCTAAAAAGCTTTACGTCCCACAAATGTTTCATTTTCTCTACACAACTATGTTATCTAAGATGCAAATGTTCTTTTAATTTATGCATCCTCTCAAGATAAAGCATCTTTCCTTGAGGACCTTGAACTACTTGTGCATGCAAAAAACCTTACAAGTAGTTACACTCTTGTAATGTCATTGCAACAACAAGATAACATTAGTAACTTGGAGGCACATTCCTCAAATTATGAAAAATGTTGTTCACTTGTTTGTACCATTATGAAACTTTTTGATCATGCTCGTGGACCTTGAAAATCCATAGAGTAGAGTCGAAACCAAAACAAATTTTGAATACTTACAACTGCTCTTCATGACTCCATTGGTAATATCTTCAATAATAACATTTTAAAAAAAAGGTTGTTAGTATTTTTTGGGAAAATTTTGCGATTGACCCAGCAACTTTGGGTGAACTAGAACCTCTAGGGCCATTAGAAGACCCTTGCTGTTTCATAGAAGCATTAAGAACTGAAAAAACGATGTAGGATTCATTGAGGAATTTTGTCGTACACATAACAGATAATTTTGAGCTGCAATAAGGACACACAGCTACTTGTTCCCAGCCCTTTTGCTTCTGGTCAGTAAAAGAGGGGAACAACTTAAGTTAAAGAATGGAGGTGGTCCAGCTCCTACCTGGAGCGTGTCACTGACGTTGAAGACGAAGGAGATTTTATCTGACTAGGCAAATATCAAACGGCCATCCTTGAGGCAGGTTTGAAGTCCCAAAGTCTTGCTGGATGATACAGAAGGGTTAATTTATAAATTTTACTCACTCCCTTCCTTCAAACATTTCAACTTTCACCTCTTACATATTCCATAAAACTTTTCAATTTTGCCTAAATAAATACACAATTGCCCTTACTTTTTTTAAATCTAACCAAACATACCCCAACTACCTTCTACGCTATATCCATTGTAACATTTTCTGAGCCCAACTTGTTTCAATTCTCTTTGTTTCAGCTTGGTCCAATTCCTAGATCTTTCTCTCCAAAAAGTTAAGAATGGAAAAGTTTTTCAGGATGGAAGAAATATCATTTAGTTATTTAGATAATTTAATAGCTTAATTTGATATTAATTATTATTATATTTATATTTACTTTATTTGTTGACTTTCCAAATTTTGAATCGGTGATTCATAATAGCGACCTCATGCCGCAATCAAACAGATCCGGCATACCAATTAATGCGATTGCCTTACTGCCTCACCAGCCTTATCATCCCCAAATGCTATTTGGTTGGCCATCCAAGAATTAGCCTTTGAGATTCAAACTCTCCGCCAAGAACACAATACTCTATCCCGCAAAGTGGATCACGTTTACTCACTTTTAGAGGTCCCAGTGATCAATAATTTGTCCACTCCAATGGTGTGGGAATCTACTCCGTGTGGAACCACTTATAACATTGAACTCAACCCAAAATTCCCGACATGGTTCTATAGGGTTACGGGCATTCGCCACAATGCTTAGATGTCAAACATTGAACAGTCAAAAGAAGAGGGGCTGCATGAATCTGATGACGAAAGCAAGTTGATTGTCGTGCTTGAAGAAATGGGTTCGTTAGTGTCTGCTAAGACATATGGGCATATTGAGGATGATTCCTCCCCAACATATGATCTTCTTGTAGATGTTGCACATGTGGGAGTTCCTAAGGCCGATGCAATTTGTTATAGATGCACAGAAGATTTTGGAGTGTCTGGTATGGGAATTATTATTCTTTTTAATTCAGGAAGAACAAAAAATGTTTTGCTCTCGATATTG